ATATATATGATTTAATGTTTTTAAAGTGAATGTAGATAAGTTATCTACATTCACTCTCAAAACAACGTCGTTTTGGATTAAAACATTATAATGAAAAAGACTATTATAACCCTGAAATAAATTATAATTACAAAAATACATTGATTTTCGTCTCAAAACGACGTCATTTTGGGCTCACTGTAGATAAGTTATCTACATTGATCGTAGAAAAAGCGAACTCATATATATATATATATATATATATATATAGAGAGAGAGAGAGAGAGAAAGAGGTAGGATCCTTTGACATCAGAGTCAAATTTGAAATTTGACACCTCATCTAATAGCCATTAGATCAAAAAAGATCAATGACTCTTATTTATAAGCATATGACACCATTGATCTTTTTTGATCTAATGGCTCTCGTATGAGGTGTCAAAGGATCCTACCTCATATATATAAATATATATAGGCAAAAGTATTTCTACAGCAACTTTAGATAAGCTTATTTACAGTTTCCATTTTTAACTATATTCTCCCGGGAGAATATAGTTATAACGTTAAAGTTGCTCTTTTTTCTCTCTCCTCATTTACTTTTCACAACTTTTTTTGCTGACATGGAGAGAGAGAAAAGAGCAACTTTAACGTTATAACTATATTCTTCTGGGAGAATATAGTTAAAAATGGCAGCTGTAGATAAGCTTATCTAAAGTTGCTGTAGAAATGTTTACCCCATATATATATATATATATATATATATATATATATATATATATATATATATATATATATATATATATATATATATATATATAGGGAAAAGTGTTTGTCATTTTAAATGACATAAACTTACGTCATTTTAAGAGAGAGATAAACACATAATTTTATTTTTTTATTTAAAATTTAAATTAGAAAAAACCATCCACTTTCTCTCTTCCATGATTTCCATTCTCTGTGTCTATCTCTTTCGTAAAATGACATAACTTATGTCATTTAAAATGACAAACATTAAAACCATATATATATATATATATATATATATAGGGAAAAACATTTCTGCAGCTGCTGTAGATAAGCTTATCTCCGGCTCAGTAAAACTACGTCGTTTTGGTCTAAAAAAAAAATAAACTTTGTTTTCTAATATTGAACGTCTTCAACAAGAGTCTTGTTCCCAAACTCGTCGTCGTCAAGCAGGCAGTGCGCAGAGCTTCTTCTCCTTTGATGTGCTGTGTTCTTTTCGTCTTGATAGTGTTCTTCTCCTTCGTCGGTGTTGCTCTTCCCCCAAATCGTTTTCCCTCATAGTTCTTCTCCTTCGCGTTCGTGGTTGTTCTCCTTCATCGTCGGTAGCCCTTCCCCTCTTCCTTGTTGGGCGTTCACTGCTCCCTCCACCATTTTCTGGTGCGCCCGTGCTCCACCACCTGTAGGTAGAAATTTTTTGATCCCATTCTGTTACAGTTCGTCATTGCCCTAATATATCATGTTTGTCAATTCCTTAATCTATCATGTTATTTTAATTTATTTATGAATTTACTTATTTATTTGCTTTTCTTATTCACTGGTTTATTTGTTTTTGCTTTTGTTGTTGTTTGTATGATAATTTTGGTTTTGTTGGACAGATGTTAATGGTGATGGTGTGTGCCACTTTGGTGATTAGATGTTAAAATTTAGGATTTTATGGAAAGATGACAACAATAGTTACCAATCATGAAGTTTTTGTCGGAACAGAATTGTATCCCTTTCATCAATAGTGTTAGAGATATAAGACTTGCTTGCTAATTGCAAGCAAATTACACTAGAACTAGCACAGATACTATTGGGACCTTCATAACCCACTTTTGTATTGGTGCTGAAAACTTCAAAGTTGTTATCTGCCCCTGAAATGTATTTCGGTATAATGAATTTGTTTAACCCTCAGTTAACTCTTTCAACTTCCTACTTCCTGTTCTGTTGAGGCCTCACCCATTTCTACTGGAATTTAACATAGAGATGATTATCATAATACATTTGAATCTAGCAATCTAATATATGAGACAATAATTATGTTTCAGAAAATAACTCAAAAATGAGTAAATTTTATATGCCAGATAGTTACTGTCTGCTGTATTGAATTCGACTGATACAAATTAGTAACTAGTTTATGTTAATTAATTCATTTCTAAACAATTATTATTTAGTAAGTTGTTGTTGATGCAGTACTATGCATTTAAAAATTGCAATACGGAATATGTCATTGCTACATAAGTTATATTGGTTTAGTCATGCCAGGGTTTTGGGATGAAGACAGATACATATGTTTGGATAAACAAAAATATAATAGTAACATATGTAGTTATAATGCTCATCTTGTTAGAGATTAAGATGGCCAGGTTAGGTTACCACTATGGAGAGGGAAACAAATAGGGCAGGCCAGGAATAAGAAACAATTTTATTTTATTTTTTAATTAAATTAAGCTTATTTGGAATGTGCCATCCACCTAATGTTTTGATTCCTGTGTGGCTCTTCTTTCGCTTGTACAACAACAAAAGCAAATTCAAAAGGGTGTGACCCATGATTTCGTAACCTGAATTAGAAAAAGCACTTACTCCTTAAATGATCTCCTCAATGTTGCCTTCACCTTCAGCGGTGCTGATGATCTCCTCAAAGTTCTCTGAATTGTTGTTGTATTTCTTCTTCTTCCTCTTTCTCACCATTTCTTTTTCTCCAAATTCCATTTACTCCTTTTTTTGTTTCTTTTTTTAAATCGGTTTAGGAAGCTTTGGTTTCCTTAATAATGTTGATGGAGCCATATGGTGGTGTTATCTGTGTCAATAATATCTTGTGCTGGTTAAAAAATGTGGTGATTTGTTTGCATGGTGATTTATATTTTATTTTCTTAGTTAAAAAAGGGAAGAAACAAAAAAAAAATTAGGTAGAAACATTGGGGGTTAATGGAACTGTGCTGAGCTACCCTAATCTGCATACATTGCTGAGTGGTTGATGGAATAACATGTTGATAATTTGAGCGTTAGTTTATATCTAGTGAGGCTGCATAATTAAATTTAATCTCTAGGCACCCAATTAGAAAAAGCACTCTAGTAGCATGCTAATTAAATTGATAAGAATATGCACATTTTCATGCCATATTGTTTGGAGTGTAGGGAGTAGTAAACGTGCCCCAATCAAGTTCTTTCCTATCATGCCCTGTTTCTTTTTGTTGGCACTAAAATAGGTACACCTCATTCCGATTGAGATGCAAAGCATCATTTCCTTTACCTATTAAAAAACTACTTTGGTATAGATAAGTTAATCCTTTAATCTAGACTTATACACATGAGAAATTTTCGCAGGGAGCAATACTAGACTTTATATAAGGGAACTCATGGAAAAGTGTGAAAATCTCGGCAAAAGTGTTGTGGAAACACAATCTCCAGGATCATCTGTTGTTTTGGTTGCGCGTTTTGATGGTCAGGTAAATGATTAACTATTATTTGAATTCATTATACATGACATGCAGTATGCCTGTGTTGGAGTATATGACTAACTATTGTGGGAGCTGATGATATGAGCTTCACGGATACCCCTATTTTGGGTAGAGTCTTTAAGACAATAGAAGAAGCTTATGACTTTTATAATGATTGTGCAGAAAGTAAAGGATTTGGAATACGTAAGCACTGGTGTAATAGGAGTACAAAAACACAACAGCCATTTAGGTGGAATTATGTATGTGCAAAGCAAGGTGTGAAACGACTTCATGATAAAAGAGTTGATGTTGACAATGTCAAAAGGAGAAGGGAAACAAGGACTGATTGTTCAGCGATGTTACAAATAAAGTTGGTTGATGGATCATAGGTTGTGGAAAAATTCAATGATACACACAACCATCCGTTGATTAACACTCCTACAAAGGTGAAGAAGTTTTTTTCTCATAGTGGTTTACGACACTCAGGCATTACTAAGTCGTTGGTTTCTAAGCTTTATCAGGAGGGTTTAACATCTTCAAAAATCTCAAAGGTGGTTAACGCTATGAACGAAGATTTTAATATTACTCCAATTCAAATTAGCACTATTATATCAAGCCAGAGACATAGTAATGTAGGCCGAGAATGCCAGGGCATTGTCAAACACTTTCAAAGGAAGTCTGTTATTGATAGAGATTTTTATTTTGATATGCATCTAGCAGAAGATGGTACAATAAGAAGTGTCTTCTGGGCGGATTGTAGGTCAAGAGCTGCATATGCTCAATTTGGTGAAGTCCTTGTGTTTGATGTGACATACAAAACAAACAAGTTCAAGTTTCCTTTTGCCCATTTCGTGGGTGTTAATCACCACGGGCAATCAATTTTATTTGCTGCTGCTTTGGTAGAAGATGAAACAGAAGCAACTTTTACTTGGTTGTTTGAACAATTTCGAACATGTATGTTTGATAGGTCTCCGGTTGCTATTATAACTGATCAAGACAAAGCTATGGGAAAATCAATTGCTAAAATATTTCCAGGAGCTCGACATCGTTTTTGCGCATGGCACCTGAAAAAACATGTTATGGAGCACAGTCAATCACTCCGCGCACAATTTAAAGATAATTTTGATGCTGACTTCCGTGAGTGGTATAAAAGTCAAAAGATCGATGAGTTTGAAGGAAAGTGGGAAGCATTAAAGAATAAATATGATATTAGAGCAGGTAGTTGGTTGGCTAACATGTATACTTCACGTCATCATTGGGCAAAGGCATACTTGAAAGATACATTTTTTGCCGGAATGACCACAAGTGGTCGAAGTGAGAGCATCAATTCATTTTTTGATGGATATGTCAACTCTAACACAATGTTAAATGACTTTGTCATCCAATATGACAAAGCAATCAAGTCTAGGAGGGATGCAGAAGAAGATGAAGATTTCAAAACTATAAATACAAAAGCAATTTTGGAGACTGCTCATCCTATCGAAGCAATAGCCGGAAAGCGCTACACAAGAAAAATGTTTGAGATCTTCAAAAAGGGGTGGAAGGCTGCCATTGGTGATTATTTTCACGAAAAGATTTCAACGGACAATAATTATACCAAGTACCGGGTGGGATCTCGTGAAGTTGATAAAAAGTGGTGGGCAATTGTGGACTACCATTTGAAAGAAACCTTCACAGATCGTTGTTCTTGTGCAAAATTTGAAACTATGGGGATTTTGTGTAGACATATTCTATACATCATGAAGAAGAAACAAATGATGACCTTTCCAGAAAAATATATTTTGTCTAGGTGGACAATGGATACCAGTTATAGAGTTGAAAACTTTGCAGGCATTCATATTGAAACAACTACTAATGAAGTTAGTGCATTGTCTTTGTGGTTGGTTCAATCTAAATTCACCATGGCTATTTCTGAAGCAAGAGATTCTATTTCTGAGGTTAGAAGGCTTGATGCTATGGTTTCTGAATTTCTACAACTACAATTGGAAAGAAAGAAAAAGACAACTGAAGATGAAATGGTTCCTACAATTTTTCCTTCACTAGTTCCCGATAATGTTTCACAAGTTTCACACATTAATGATGTGCGTGATCCTACTCAACTAGTCAAAACTAAGGGGCGTCCAAGGGTTGCTTCACGTATAAAATCTAGCGTGGAAATGTCTACAAAACAACAAAGGACTTGCAGTTATTGTCAAGGGAAAGGTCATTATAAGACTGGTTGTCAGAAGCTAAAGGTATGTGTGAAGTTGATATATTTGTTTTCCTCTTTAAAAACTTGATGAAAATTTTATTATGCTTCACTTGTAGATGGATGGTGCAAGAGAGAAGCAAAAGGAATACTAGCTGTGGGATTGTCAACTTGTACTGATCCTTTAATACTTCCATTATTAGTACCAAGAATCTCTCGAGCTGCTTTCTCCGGAATTTGTGAACACAATGTTCTTGTCTCTCTCTGACCCTGTACTCCACTATTATTATTGTCTGCTAATTACAATTACAATCTCAAGTTTGATTCAACATTAAATTTCTAACTTTCTTGTTTTCATTATCTCCAGATGATCATCAAGGTTGTCCTTTGTTCTTGGTTTAACTGCTTTGCTGATTTTTACAGGACCTTCCTATACACATGGTTTACACAAAGGTAACTTGATATAACCTGAGAACATTACTGAACCATTTATTTTTTTTGTCTAGTTTCCTAGCCTCATGTTAAATAGATTGTGGTATAATTGATTTATTGAGGAGACACTCAATATATTTTAAATTGGTTTCAGAGGTCCCTTAGTTAAATAATGAACATTGCCACGAAAAGTTATAAATTTTTTGGCTAAAATTGTCTTGGGCCTATTGAAAATGATCTTGGTATATATTCAAATTCAAATGACAGCAACTGAAAAACCATTTTTGATTCTTCTAATATTTGTAATTATCTATATGATGAATTTCTCTTCAGGGGTATTCACCAGAATGCTCAAGAGTGACATCCTTCAAAATCCAGTTATTAAAGTGGTTGCAGAGAAATTGGGGAAGACTCATCAGGAATATCTGTCTTGGTAATAATAATAGTAGTATTAAAGGACCAGTACTAATTGAGAATTCAGAGGATGATGGCGATGAACCACTTGTGCTTTTATTTGTAATTTTTATGTAATTTTGGTTTATTTGAGATAATTGTAGTCATAAACACGTAAGATGTTTATGTGTGTTTTAGAGACGTTGTAGATATAGCAGGATCATGACTGAGATTCAAATGATTGAAATACTTTCTTCAAAGCAATTTTAGAAACTAACCGGGTTTTTTTTCCTATTTATTGTGATGAGATATACAACTGCAAAATAAGAAGAAAAAACATTATGGATTTTTTTCCAACAGGTTTAAAGGGGTTCAAAGAAGTGGGTTTACTCCATTGGAGCAAGCTCCACAACTATCAACTTCAATGGCTAATTAACATTTGATACCTTCAATTCAGTTTTTTTTTTTTTTTTATACCTTCAATTCAGTTTTGCTTATATTATTTTCAACCTTACAAGTTTATCTTACTTTTTTTTTCTGTGGTGTGTGTGTGTTGGGGGGGGGGGGAGTTGGGGAGGTGAATATGAAAGAAAAAATACATTTAACATCACATTATAGTTACATCATAAAGAAATAATTAAAAGAAAGTGCCAACTGACATGTTGTTGCCACTGTACATCACATTATAGTTACATCATAAATAAATAAGTAAAAGAATGTGCCAATTGACATGCTGTTACCACTGTCCTAAAATAAAATGTCCTGATAAGTAAAACGGTCGTTCTTTTGATAATGATAGATATATATAAGGAGCAAAGATTGACGAGAAATTGCATTGCTGTAAAGCTTGCAAGTGCAAGGATTGACCAATACACTAAAAAAGCAAAAGCTGTGAGATTCTCTTGCACTTTGATTTTGGAAGTCGCAAAAATGCTCACAACCAGTTCTTTTCGATCTTGGCCTCCCCCTTGAAAACACACTGCAACAAATGCACAACAAAGCTTGAGTCTCCTCTTAAACTAGCCTTGCGTTGATTAGATCATCAAAGAAGTAATGTTGTGAGCAGTTGAAAATTTCTACTCTTCTTCAAGTGACAAAAAGTAACACAAACAAAGAAAAACAATCCAAGAGTCATTATGATAATATTGTTTTACCTGATTTACAAGGTGACTGAACAAGTTCTTACTCAGCCGTGTAACAACCCTTTCACTAGCAGAAGAAAAAAGCCAAGCTCGAAGTGCTGTGCAAACTGAACTGTAAAATTAAGAAAACTCAGTGAACCACTTGGGATCCCAGAAAATTTGTGACAGATCAGAAATCATGACTACATCCCAATTAAACTGTATCATCAATTGGAGAATAATCAAGCAAGATCATACCCAATAACAACAATAAGAGAGATTTCCAGTATGGTGCTCTTGACAGCATTCAAAGCTTTGTATTTATCCTCGGGAGTTTGCATATCCCCTGAGACAATGTCGATTATATTCCCACCAAATTTTTGCTGCAGCAGGAACATTTCCACGTTCATTAGAAAACAACTTTAACTTTACATCTGGCGATGTGGCAGCAAATGATATAGGGCTACCGGCGATGAAGGAGAACAACCACGAACGCGAAGGAGAAGAACTATGAGGGAAAACGATTTGGGGGAAGAGCAACCACCGACGAAGTAGAAGAAAGCTCTCAAGATGGAAAGAAGACAGGTAGCAAAGGAGAAGAAGCTCTCTGCTGCACGACGACAAATTGGAATCAATTTTAGCGAACAAAGACCTAAAACCAAAGGAGAGGATCCTTCGAGATGTTGCGCCACACAGAGCAAACACGCTGAGCGTTAATCAGGATCACGATTAATATTAGAAAACAATTTTTTTTAAAAGACCAAAACGACGTAGTTTTACTAAGCTGTAGAAATGTTTTCCCCATATATATATATATATATATATATATATATATGAGGTAGAATCCTTTGACACCAGTGTCAAATTTGAAATTTGACACCTCATCTCAGAGCCGTTAGATCATAAAAGATCAATGGTGTCACATGCTTACAAATCAGAGTCGTTGATCTTTTTGTTATCTAACGACTCTCAGATGAAGTGCAAAATTTGAAATTTGACACTGGTGTCAAAGGATCCTACCTCTATATATATATATATATCAGCATCGTTTCTAACCAGAGTGCACTGGGGGTGCAATGATTCACAGCCACCAATTCCGTAAAGGAATAAATTTAGCAGATCCACCGGGACCCACTCCGACAACAATAACATTCAATCTCTGCCGTTGGTTCCAAGCTCCAACCATAAACGCAAAATCCTTGGGAGCAAAACCACGAAACGAAAAGTAAAAATAGCTAATGAGGGTTGGCAAGTCAACAAAACTGATCTAGTTATTTTTTAATATCAACCGCTCTTTAAAATGAACTTAATTAATTCAGTTTCACGTTTTTGTTTCTTAATTATTATTATTTTTTTAAATTACAATTTTAGGAATCAAATTCACTATTTTTTGGCAAATTAAATTCTGATATTTAACTACTAGCTCGTTGGAGTAATCTTTTATTTTTCTTTTAATTTGTTCGACAAAATATAGTTGCATTTTATATTTTTAAGAGTAAATACCTTTTTCGGTCCTCAACAAATTTCACGTCACCCACTTTAGTCTCTAGCAAATAAAAAGACTATTCATAGTCCCTAAGAAATTCAAAATGGATCCAGTTTAGTCTTTTTGAGGGACTAATGTGAGTCTTTTTTGAATTTGTGAGGGACCACGATTTCAACTAAATGTGTCCATTTTGAATTTCTTAGGACCACGAATAGCCTTTTTATTTGCTAGGGACTAAAGCGGGCATTGTGAAATTTGCTAAGGACTAAAAATGATATTTACTCTATTTTTAATTTTTTTTTTTTTTAAGAATTGAACAAGTGGAGCGAGAGCATGTGTTTAATTCTTCCAATATTATTTTGAAAGAAATTTAAAGTCTTAATTTCGAAACCCTATATTGCATCGACACCGATACATGATATGAGATATGACACGACATGACACTCCAACACGTTAATTCTAAAAAATATTAAATTTTGACACGTTAGGACACGTTTTGATATTATATAATATTTTTAATTTATGTAATGTATATTATATTTAATATTCAATAATTTAAAAAAAATAAAACTAAACATATAATACCCATCAATTTTGCAAAGAAACATAATATATACCAAATATTTATATTAAACTCAATATAATAATCCAACGAATCTAATAGTTGGAACTCAAAATGCAACGCAATGTAACATTTGAACTTTTTTTTTGAGTCTTTGCAATGAGTATTGGAGTGTCGGAAAGTGTCGGACACGACACGTCAGAAATCTTGAAGTGTCGATGCTTCATAGCCGAAACTTGTCCCAAATTGGACTAATCACAAAGCCATGGATCGATTAGATATATATATATATATATATATATATATATATATATATATATATATATATATATATATATATATATATATGAGGAAGGATATTGTAACAACCAAGTTGTGTTACTACCAATCAATCTCACCGTTAGATCGATTATGTTGATCCAAATGTTATATTTATTTTCATCTTTGTATGGTTATGTTTTTCCAAATTTAATACTTTATATTTATTTTCACCTCTGTATGGTTAATGATTCCCTATATTTAAAGTGAAAGCATTAAATATGAGAAATCATAACCATGCAAAGGTGGAAATAAATATAAAGTATTAAATTTGGAAAATCATGACCATACAAAGATGAAAATAAATATAACTGTTGGATCAACATAATTGATCTAACGGTGAGATTGATTGGTAGTAATATGGTAGTAACACAACTTGATTGTTACAATATCTTTTCCCTATATACACACACAAACTTTTATTAAAATAAGAGTTAGGATATTCTTACTACCAATTTTTTTTACTACCACTCCACTACCACTCTAATCACCATTGAATTAGAGGAAAAGTTGAATGAAGAGAAAGAAAAGAAAAATAACTTTTGAATCCGATGATAATTAAAGTGGTAGTCGATTGATAGTAGAAAATATTAGTAATAAGAATATCCTACATTTTACAATAAAAAGAAGTGTAAGTTTACCAAAAAAAAGAAAAAAGAAAAAGAAGTGTCAAATATAAAATTCCCTTTTGACATCTCATACGTGGTGCGAGAAATATAAGACAGAACAGGAGAGTGCCGCCGTTCATCTTCATTTTCCACATTCTCCCTCATTCATTATTGTCCTCTTAAATTCCCTTCATTGAGAGTTCTCGCATTTCCACCTACTGAAGCTCTTTCTTTCAAGGTTTTTCAATTTTTCCTTTTTTTTCCTGAATTTTCCCCATTCTTATGTTCCACAAAAATGAAGCCACATGAATAAACATTTTGATTAATCATCAATTTATTTGCATATTTGCAGATCGAGCTTCGGAAAAGTTGAGAAAGCATTTGTGAAATAACAGTTTCTCAGATCCTTGAGAAAAGTTTGTGTTATTTGTCGAAATAACTTCAAAAATAATAAGCATGGCAAGCGCGTTGCAGCTTCATGTGGTTAAAGGAAACCTCGCTGTGACATTAATGAGAAGCTTGCATTTGCATAACCAACAACCTATGTTGTTGTCGTCACAACGAAGAATAGGGTTTTCATTTTCAGCATTTGATGCTCCTTTTCCAAGGCTATGTTCTGAAAGAGGAATTTGGAGTAATAAGGTGGCATTCAGTAGTGTCACGTGCAAGGCAACAACGGCAAGAAGCGATGTGCTTGAGAAGCACGTGACTGAGGATGATAACAATGAGAAGTTTAGTGAAAGTGAAACCAGTTTCACTTGTGTTATGAAATTTGGTGGATCCTCTGTGTCTTCTGCAGAGAGGATGAAAGAGGTTGCGAACCTTGTGCTAAGCTTTCCAGAAGAGAGGCCTATTGTTGTTCTCTCTGCTATGGGAAAGACAACTAATAAGCTTTTGCTGGTATTTTATTTTTTCATTTTTGTTTCATGTCAATTTTATATCATTTGTTTAATCCAGCTTTGGTATAACGGTTGGTGTTGTTGTTAAGTGATTCAAAGGTCACATGATCGAATTCGAACATTTGAATAGCCTGTGGCATAATGTTTGGTGTTTGTTGTTATGTGATTCGAAAGTTACATGTTCGAATCATGTAATCAGCATCCTTTATTATACACAGGGAGTGGATTCTCTTATATGTAATTTAACATGATTATATGATGCGAGAGGATTCGAATTATTAATGGTCAAATCAATGGTGATGATCTTGTCATTCCTTATTCCGATATTTTTTCTCTTCTCATCTGTTATCACCGTTGATTTGATCATGAATGATTATGATCCTCTCTCACCGGACGGTTGTTATGTTAAATAACACATGATAGTATTTATTCCTAAAATATCCACACAATGGGTCTCACTCTCTCTTCATAAAGAGAGCTAGGTTGCCCTTTTTGTTTTCTGCTAATGAAGAATGATTCTTAAAGAAATGGGGTTGCTTTTTTGTTTTTGTTAGGCTGGAGAAAAAGCTGTTAGTTGTGGTGTTACTAATGTCTCTAGCATTGATGAGCTTGGCTTTATAAAAGACCTGCATCTCAGGCAAGAGAAATGAATTTTCTTTTTGCTCTTTTCCAAGTGCAACAAAAAAATTTTAAGGAAAGAAAAATCATTATTATTATCTTTTTAAATTATTGTATTCTGATTGGATGTTCTTACCTGCTTCTCAGGACTGCGGATCAGCTTGGAGTGGATGGATCTGTTATTGCAAGTGAGTTACCTTTGTCCGCAGTAGATCTTTTGATGGTTAAATTGCATGATTTGAATATTTATTTATTTGATTTTGGATTAAAAAGTTCTTGTCATATCATTTCACATAGCAACTAGCAAGTTTTGTCCATTCGTTTGTGTGTAGCATCTGTGCTTGGCTTTATTCACAATACATGCTTGCATATTTGTTACTGTTGTTTGTCTCTGTAATTTAGTAATTTTATCTTATATTGAGAATTATGATATCAACATTCAAGTCTATTCTATATCAACATATCCTGAAGAAGTTTGTGAATTGAAGAGTTTCTCTGGTCTGATATGATTGCTTTTGCATTGAACATGCCAAGCCATTATAAAGGCACATACATGTCTTAGGATTAACAATTCCTTATGTAACCAGAAGCAGGAGCTACATTGTATATGCATTAGTGTCTGACAGAATTGGCCCTTGCATGAGTGATTAGAAATTGTAGACCATAATTGGATTGTTGTCACGGGAAAAATTGGCATTTCATAGTTTAAGCTTGTTATGTCATACATTTTCAAGATGAAAAAGTGGCTTCTCAAACCATTCAGGAAAAATTAATCTCGTTGGATGATAGAACAGATCACTGGAATGGGATTGCTTACATTTACCTGTATAGGAGAGAATGAATCAACTAGTAACTTATATGGATTACAATCATATGAATCAATTATTGACTTATATGGATTACGATCTGCTGAGTTTTATAAGTCATGGAAGATTAGGGAGCCAATTAATTTTTTAACGGATATAAGAAAAATATTACGAGGTAGCTAAGAATTCATCTGTCACTTCATATCTCTCAAGCTCAAGCCAAGAAAAAATTAGAACTCTGTCATAGTTTTGGGTAATAATTTTAACCTTAACCATGAGCTTTATTTTGCTTCAAGTTTTTCATTTTATTTTATCAACTCATGGATTGAACTAATTCTATCATATGGATTTTTTTCCTTCTCGGTATGGTTGTTCTGTAATTTTCATGCTTGTACTCATTTTAATGGGTTACTTGGTGTTGTATATGGATACATTTCCAGAGCATCTAGAAGAACTAGAGCAACTTCTGAAAGGGATAGCCATGATGAAAGAGTTGACTAAACGGACTCAAGACTATTTAGTTTCCTTTGGAGAATGCATGTCCACTAGGATCTTTGCTGCATATCTTAATACAATGGGTGTCAAGGCTCGCCAAGTATGTATTCTTATTTGCCTATTTAATACATTTCATAACTAAGAGGTTGTTAGCTTTTTTATTGCTAATGATGATAGTCCAACTCTGAATGAAGTCTTTTGATTTTGATTTGTAGTCCCTGATAATAGTGATTTTTTGCTAATTTATTGGTGTGGCAGTACGATGCATTTGAGATGGGTTTTATAACAACTGATGACTTCACCAATGCGGACATTTTGGAAGCAACTTATCCGGCTGTTGCTAAGAGATTGCATAGTGATTGGGTTTCTGATCCTGCAATTCCAATTGTTACAGGCTTCCTTGGAAAGGTATTTGTGACGTCTTGCTTTTCCAATGCTTTTTTATTTCCTTTCCTTTTCTTCTCCAGAATTTTATGTTACTAAACTGAGAATTCTCTTCTTGAAGGCTCGGAAATCATGTGCAGTAACAACACTAGGTAGAGGAGGCAGTGATTTGACAGCTACAGCAATTGGGAAAGCACTAGGATTGCCTGAGATTCAGGTTTGTATACCGTTGTGCATGTCAAAATGGAGACAAAAAAGAAAACAACTAATTTCAGTCACTTAAAACAGGTATGGAAGGATGTTGATGGTGTCCTAACCTGTGATCCAAATATATACCCACAAGCAGAACCTGTCCCATTCTTGACATTTGACGAGGCTGCTGAACTTGCTTACTTTGGTGCTCAGGTATCATTACATTCACTTGTTCTGTAATTCTGTTGACAATATGCCATAAACTATCTCTGTTTGGTTTTTAAAAAAAATTGTAGAATCTAAATGTAGCTTGCATTCTGCTTTTGTTTTGAATCATGCTTCTTTATAGTTACTTCATAAAAGCTCTATGGTTTTATTGATTTTTATTTTTTGACAGAAGGAAAAATTTATTATAGAGGAAAGATAAAAAGTAAAAGTGCACAAATATGGGGTTCAGTAAGGCGTCCTCCAAAATAGGGAAACTTAGAAAGGAAGCCTTAGAGGCTAAAGAAATGCAACAAATCTATCAAATCTCTCTACTGATCAGAAATGGGTTAACCATTATTATGACATAACAGAGAAGCTATAAATTCTATCTTATCTCCCAAAGACTACAATAAAAAAAGAAAAAGAAAAAATAACCTTGAAGATAAGTCCATTCTGCTTGACACTTAGAGAACCTCAAATTACAGCAACAAATTCTTGGAATCTTGATTCTTTACAAAATCCTTAAATATATTAGAAGAAAATACTCCAAAGTTAAAGTAGACCGAATGTTCTCCAAGATCAAGTTATTCTAGAAATAAAGTAGTTGCCAATAACATAAAAATTAGCAGGCTACATTTACTAAAAAATAAATAAATAAATAAATAATTTAGAGTGCTACTATTTTGAAGCTACACTAGCACATAAAAAGACTTGCACCTTCATGCATATTGGAGAAACAACTGAGACTGGAAATCTGCAAAATGTCATTTGAATAATTTGAACGAGTGTCACAAAACTGCTCTAGAAAATTCTGGACCATCAGGCTTGTAAAAGTTTGTTAGATTGAGATGAGAGAACACACATTGAAATGGTTTGGGGATATAATGCAAAAGATTCCTAGACGATCTTGTGAGAACAAAAGTTTGGTACCAAGAGCTTGATGTAGAAAGAGGAATAGGTCGGCCAAAACACACTTGGGATAGACTCGTTTTTCTTCCTATGTTCTTGTCAGTCCCAGTTTAGTTCTTTTGCCCTATATATTCCTCTATATCTTTATATAGGTATTTAATTTATTTCCTCTCTATTTCATTATTTGCTTTTATTTATCTATTTTTATTTGTACAACTTATTTTTTTTTTCTTTTTTATCTTTATTTCACTTTATTTTTTTTCTTTTTATTGTATTTTTCTTTTTTAAGTTTCAGTTTTCAATTTTTTTAAATTTCATTATTTATTTATTTTTCCCCTCAATTTTTCCTTGCTTTTCATTTGGGTTCATTAACCACCAACCCAAACTAGTTTGTGATAAAAGTTTTGCTGATGTTGATCAGGCTTGTAAAACTTGTTTTGCATGTGTTCCTGAACTTATAATACTGCAAAATCACACACATCTGAACCTTGTGCTAACGAGCTTATTATGTTTTTAACGGGACAAGTTGGCTAACATTAGAATAATACAACTTACGTACCATAACAAATATGAAATTATCTTACTGGGTACCAGAGAACAAACAATAAGGTTGCACCGTTGAGAAAAGGAAAAGAGAAGAAGAGGGTGGGGAGAGAAGGGAGGTGAGGGGGGGGGGGGGGGGGGGGGGGGGGGGGGGGGGGGGGTTTGCAAAATTCAAATTCCAGAGCATATTGGCAGTGGGAATATAAGATTAATTGACAAGGAACTTATTAATTACTAAATTTTAAGGTATGCATAATCATAAATTCTAATTATTGTCTTAATGTACAGAGTCATGAGGAAGGATCATGGATATGAAAAGATTTGATGTTTCTCGATCATTGAAATAGTGGAAGGCATTGTGCCATATAAAGTGTGAAAATTTAAAATGGTGCATTATGCACTAATGGAAAGAACTTCGCCTTCCCAGCTGTCCTACCCAAAAATAATAGAAGAATCATATATGAACTTTTTCTTTGAATTGGGCAATGGGATATACACAATAGGGATGAGTTTCAGAGTGTATGCATGAGTGACGTTGACATCATTGCTAATCATGTCATTCTACCTACTTTAGTGTAGGCTGATTTAGATTTAGAACTGCATGTCACTTGATGCCCTATCCCCAAAGAATTGTTAAATTAAGATCTCCATTCCTAGCTGGATGCTGTTAAATGCCAGCTGTACCACTTGTTTGGTATGAAATGGTTAACAAAAAGCCAAAAAAAAAATTGGGCCAGTAACTAGGCTCTCCAAGTAATCTCAGATTTGTTCTGTAAATGAGCTTATATATCAATGTTTCTGTGTTATTACCTAATTGTTACTGAGCCCACTGCAAGGTATGTTAAAGCTTAAAACCTTTAGTGCTGTTGTGAGGAGCATGATTGTTGGGCACTCAATGGATAGACTTGTGCCTTGGGATATCAAAATAATCTTTTTAAAGGTGAGTCTAAACTACATCATTTATTTATTATTTTTTTTTTTTCTATTAACAGGTTCTGCATCCACAGTCTATGAGACCTGCTAGAGAAAGTGATATTCCTGTTAGGGTTAAAAATTCCTACAACCCTAAAGCTCCAGGTACTCTGATAACCAAGGCAAGAGATATGAGCAAGGTTTGTAGAATATAAAGAGTTGGCACAAATATTAAATCACATTATCATTAGAAAGACTTAAGTGTTAAGTTAACCTTTCTTCACCTGCAGGCAGTATTAACAAGCATTGTTTTAAAGCGTAATGTGACCATGTTGGATATAGTGAGCACCCGCATGCTTGGTCAGTATGGTTTCCTTGCTAAGGTGAGAGCTAATGCCTGTCAGATCTGTCCTGCTAGTGGTTGAATCCCTTCCACTCTTCTTACTTCCACATGTATGCAGGTGTTTTCAATCTTCGAAGATTTAGGCATATCAGTTGATGTTGTAGCTACAAGTGAAGTCAGTGTTTCCTTGACATTGGATCCATCAAAGCTATGGAGCAGAGAACTAATTCAGCAGGCAAATGCAAGAAATTTGTATTCTTTTGATTAGTTTTAATGATTTATAATATTTTTGTAGTATTTTAATTTCTTTTTTTCTAGTGTCCCTGATGGCCTTATAATATGATGTCTTTCTGCTCGATATCACATATTCTTATACTTAAATAAACAAATGCTTGCTCAATGGTTTTCTTAGCATAATGTGCCGAGTTTCGATCCCCAGCCATTGCATAAATCTAATGGGCTGTCATTCTTTATCTTTATGCAGGAACTTGACCATGTTGTTGAAGAACTAGAGAAAATTGCTGTGGTGAATCTCCTGCAGAATAGATCCATCATCTCTCTCATTGGAAATGTTCAGAGGTCATCCCTGATATTGGAGAAGGTTCTGTATTATGCTCTCTTTATTTAAATATAGTTTCTTAAGTTTTATCATGCTCAGTTTCATTTTGTTCTCCTTGGGGGGCTTGGGGCACTGTTGATTTTGAAGTGCAATCCACAACTTGTATGTGTTTTACAGGCACAAGTTAATTCATGTCAACATGCAAGATTAGTCTATGTCTAGCTCTCTCTGTTAGTGACATTAGAAAATCACTGATTGACATTCTATCACAGGCATTTCGAGTTCTTCGAACCCTTGGTGTCACTGTTCAAATGATCTCTCAGGGTGCATCTAAGGTATCCCCTTAATCAACTTGATATTATTCTTCAGTATATTTGCTATAAGGAATTATAGGCTCTTTCAACCCCAGACACAAGAAGCTAAGGCTTGCATGTATTCTCATTGTACACCTGGCATGTGTTAAGTGATTCAAAACCTATCAGGCATCTCGGAATATGATATATCCATGAGAAGCATGTTCATTACACAAACATATTTTTCTTGATGGGAGTGATAATCAAAGCATATTTTGTATGATTAATAGCATAAAACTTCCTAGTCCACAATCCTGCATTTCAAACTTATTTTTTCTTTCTAAACCTGGTGTTTGCCATATTCAGGCGTTGGATATATTTAACATAAAGTTAGGACTCCAAAAATGGTTTCATTTTCATGTGTTGTGTCTGTTTCTGTTTTGTTTTCGGCAGGTGAACATCTCATTGGTTGTAAATGATAATGAAGCAGAACAGTGTGTCAGGGCTCTCCACTCAGCATTCTTTGAGAGTGAGCAATCAGAGTTAGAGAAAGAATACAGAAATGGGAATGGTTCTGTTGCCGAATTATCTTAAAGACACGTGGGTTCAATTCTTTGTAGTTGAGATACATTCCAATCTGAATTTCTAATGTCAACCAAGCATTTTTCAATTCCTTCTAACCTTGTGCATTGAGATGTAGAACAGTGTAGTTTACGGGAAGATAAATGATGGTTGGGAGGAATGACGAAGTATTAGTGTATACTAGTCCTGATATTGCTAGAGAGTAGATCTTTGTATTCTTCGTAGCTGCCTCCAAAGGGGCTAACCAGCTGCAAGCAATTATTATTTATTATATTGTTAGAAAACATTCCATGCAAGAAGCTCCAAGAGTTCCCTTCACGTCTGCCCAATTGAAATGTAGCATAAGGTTGTATTTGGAGATATTAGCATGCATGTAATCGACTTTGTTAAAGCCCACTGAACGCATAAAGTTTACGGTTCAGTCTAACATCATAATTATATCAAAATATAAATTTTATATGAGAAAAGTGTGTGTAATTTTAAATGATGTAAATTTGTATCATTTTAAGTGAGAGAAAGAGATAGATAAAGGGGAAGAGAGAGTGGACCAAAAAAATAAAGGTATGAATTTCATCTTTTTGAGAGAGTAAAATGACACAAGTTGTGTTATTTAAAAGGACAAATACTTTTTTCATTTTATATATCGTAAAAACTATTTTCAATTTTTTAAAAATATAACTAAATAATTTGAAATCATACTCACAAATTTGCAACTTATTTTTATTTGGGGTCATGTTCCAATGTCTTTTATGTGGTTAACTTTAAAACCACTTCTTTCCTAATGTTTTTTTATTACTCAGCTATGTTGCTTAGAAATCATATTCAATTAACCTAAATGCTGCTTAGAATTATATAAATTGTTTTGCTCCCGGAAATAGTAAACAAAGCGTGAGATTCTCCTTCGTTACTTGATAGGGTTGTAAATAGGCCAAATGGACTTTCAAATGGAATTTATCATATTAAGTTGACTTAATATGTTTAATAAAATAGAACACCCGAGTCCCGAACTTAATAACAAAGTAATAATAATAATAATAATAATACTTAAAAAATGTCATAGGTCTACTTTTAAAAGACTTGACCCATAAACCTATAGTCTGATTTTTATCGTATTAATCGTTTTAAATAAAATATGAAATTATTTAAATATTTGCATATTATAAAATAATATTTTAAATATTTTTTTTCTATTTTTTGATAGACTTAGCAAGGCCTAATAAATAATCCATATCAGGTTTAAAATATTTAGCGTAACCTATTTACACTCGTATAATCCTCAACAATATCTTACTTCCAAACACCAAACTTTCCATTTATGTGACCTTGAAGCTTGAAATTGTTGAAAATGATGAAAAATGGTTTGGTTATACTTTATGACCGAAGAGTGTTTTTAACATATTCTCATTTATAGATTAACATTTGGATAGACTTAGATGGAATATAACCATAGGGGATTTATGTGATAATAAAACAAATCAGGGGATTAGTGATTTTACGATAAGTGATGATAAGCATTGCAGATATTAGCAAGCATGTAAACGACATTATTAAAGCTGACTGAAAGGATAAAGTTTATGGTTCGATTTGAAATCATAATTAAGTCAAATATAATGGGAAAGGTTATATATTTAGAAACTTTTTTGTTTACAAATTCTTACAAATTACGCTATGTCTGACCGGTAATATACTTTTGAGTAGAGTATTACTGGTAGGGGTGTTAACGGGCCGAGCCGAGCCGAACTTTGGTCTTAAAAAGCTAAGCCTGTGTTTAAATGTGTCGGCCTTACCAAGCCTGTTACCTGTTACGCATATAATTATCGGTCTGTGGCCTGCCTTATTTACAAAAAATAAAAGCCTGATTGAGCCTGTTAGAAAAAAATAAGACAACAAAAATTTATCCAAACAGAATATACAATCAACAATACTAGTAATTCCCTAAATATTCATAAATTTAATGTATATCCAAACAACATAATATAGAACAAAATTATTCAAAAAATCTGTTTAACTAATAAAATAGGAGTGAAATAGATTGAGAGGAGAGAGCTCAGTGAACTGATAAGGCTTGCACTATCCTAACAAACCAATAATGGAATGGCACAGTGCTAGTTCCAGTACAACCTACGACCAATATTCTACAAATAGAAAATAGGCATCTTAGGGAAAACCACAACATCGCAAAAGAACTAATAACAACTCATTTATAGGCAGTCACCTAAACTCCAAAGGAGGTCCTTCCATCACCATCACTATAAATATATGGACTTAACACTCATGTATATATCTCTTATACACTTAACATACTAGCTCAAACATCGACTTGATTGTTAGAATACCATGTTGGAACCCACCCGCACTCGTTTCCAAAAGACCTTGAAGAAACATCCTGCCATAACCTTGAAGGAAACATCATCAATTATAAAGTAACCAGCCCAAACATCATGAGGAGAACATGATCAACCATTGGCAGAGCCAAAAAAAAAAAAACTTAGCTAGTGCCAAAAGACCCAGTCAGAAAGAACTTAGCAATTGCCAAGGTTGTATTATTTTTAAAAATTCAATCAGTGCCAAGCATGTACCATAAATTTTAAAGAAAATTTATACCATTTTTAAAAATCAGCTGGTGACTACCAAGTTGCTCTGCCACTATAAGCAACCCATAAACTCTTTAGCTGATAATTAGTGTCGATAGAGTTATATTCACATCTCTAAAATCATGGTTCATACAATAAGCATACTGGTGAAGAAAGACCAAAACCACCAGTAGAAGGATGGTGACGAAGCCTTAATCACATCTAGGCGGATACTTCCACCACCTTCCCTGAGTGGCCAACTTTAAAGACAAAATCATGATATTCATGTTACTAATTGTCAAATTTTGTAACTTATTTTGCAATAAAATCAATGAATAAAGCAAAGAGAGTGAGAACTGGTGAAGTTGTAGCAACAACTTCAGCTAAACAAAAATCCGTGGAAGTTTAGACGAGAATGATAGCTGGCGATCCAATCACTTCAGAGAACCCTAGGAATCCTAGAAACAACCTCATTTACTATATTTTTAATCATTAGGATCATTAGGAAAGGCTCCATATGAAAGCAATTACTATGAATGTGCCAGCATAAAAAAATTTCATTAGTGTATGTAGTTGTTTCCCCTTAATCCATGAATGTTTTGAAAGAAGCAAAATATGGGAGTTTTAGGTTTTTGTGACCTTATTTTACCTTTTTACTTCTAATATTTTTACTCTTCTTATCCCCCTTTCTCTTTGAATTTTACCTTTTCTTAACTTGCAGGGTAGGAAAGTGTTGTTTTCTCAATTTCATGCCTCTTCTCCCCCTTATTGGCAACATCAAAAGTATTAAATAGTTCATCGTATCGTGCAACTCAACATATATAGTTTAGAATGAAAAATATTAGTTTGATGTGTAAAATAATCATAACATACAATATATATGTTTACTTTGAAATTGCAAGAGATGCTTGTGCAATGTTGGTGAAATTGCACGCTAAACTCATAACATTTGTTTGCCAAACGCAATGAAATTTTTAGAGGTAGTTTATGACGTCACAAGCAACTCCTTCATGAAGGTGAAGAAATAGAAAATTTTCTTTTGTTCTTCATTGTGAAACCCGTGACACATTACGGTCCTCATGAGATGCCTTAGGATCTACTCGTTAAAACATATAGGGGATTTTAGTTTTCATACTTGATCACTTGAAGACTCCAAAGGTTATGGGGTCCTTTAATGTTGATCCACACGATCGTTCCTTAATGGCGGCGGAGAACTCTTTCTTTTTTATCCCTCCTTCCTTGGTAGCTTGCTAGGTGAATGCAAGGTAGAAGGCTATCAAGTGTTTGAATTTATTTTTCTCAAGACTATGATTGTGTATTGAGGTTAAGTGTGGGGCACAACAATGGAGGTATGGATGTGTTAAAGGGGCGACCAAGACTTAGGTTTTCATGAAGCTTGAATGGGGCACATATGTCTCTTTAAAGGCATGATCAAAGTGACGTCTGAAACTTCTTACTTAAATTAGGATTTGTTTCTAATTTGAATCCCGCTTTGATTACTTCGTCTAAGCGGATTTTCTGATCCTTCTTAGATATACTCTTATCATGTAGTTGGAAAATTATTCTCCACATTTAAATTCAAAATTCAAATGAACATGTGAAGGTGCTTCATGAATTTCGAAATTTTCAAATGGTTTCTAGAACCATTTTGAATTTCTTCCCAATCATGAAACATATTTGAATTCGAAATTCAAATTTCAAGGGAGCCTTACATATAGTTTGAAAATTTCAAGTGGATTCTATAAGGTTCCACTTGAAATTTGCTCTTATCCTTATCCATTCTCATTGTTGCTTCATCACTAACTTTTTTTGAATTTGTAATTCAAATAATTGAGTTGTTTCTTGAATTAAGACTTATCCAGTGCCTATTGGGTAGTGCTTTGGATAATTCCAAATTATCCTTATCCTTATCAACTTAACCTCTTGAATTCAAATTTTAAATTTAAACTTGAACTCAAATTCACTCTTATCCTAATTTATAATTTAAATTTGAATTCAAAAATCAAAAATCAAATTCAAATGAAGATTTGTGCCAAAACTTATTTTGACCCAGTCAACTCCTTGACTTACTAAGATTCATGGCCTAAGACCCTATTAGGCCTTTCTAAAATATTTGGGTCTATTAGAGGAGAAACCAATTTTACCAATAAAGCCCAAATATGGCGCATGATGTAATTGGGCTTCGAGTCTCACTTGAACCCAATTTCACTCATACCCTTAACTAAGCCCAATAACACATTATTGGAACAAACTTGCTATAACATGCCATTAAGAACAATCTTGGTGTCTGACCCATTAGGCCCAATTAGTCACTGACATAGACAAACTTAGACCAATTAAACTCTTTTAATGAGCCCAATTTATCTAATGACCACATAAGATACTAACAATGCTCTGCGGCCTCAGAACTAACTAATTTGAGCAAGTGGTCTCTACCTTTCTAATTTGGATACTGTGTCTGCATCACTCTTCTTATCATCGTTCACATTTAGTTGACAGCAAGGAAAAAATATCATCTCTCTTGTATGAGTAAATGTAGTTATTTCACAAAACTCAGAATCTTCTTCCATTGACTCTAAGACAGATTCATGATTCCTCGTGATCCCTTATTATGCATAGATTCCCAAGTCTAATAGAATCCATCCAAGCCATACCGGTCTTATGAACGACTAATCCCTTGTAGGGACTATGAGTCCTATCGGCATGTCTATATATACTCATGTATTCGATTTATGCCAAAGAGTACATTATTCTCTCCAATTTTAGACTGATAGAATTATACAGTCAAAGCATAACCCTAGGACATAATGTTCAAT